TGGAGGACTTTCATAGGGAAACTGGCTCATATGTACATTAAATATAGGGAAAGCTGCGCATGCAGCTGGTCCATTTCCCTAACCTGGTTTAATTATCAGTATTCAGAAGTCTTAACCACTCGGAAACTGGCGGGGCTAGAAAAGGACGAAAACATCACACGGAATATTTGGATCAGTGGTGATATTTCACTCTGCTTTGTCATAAGATCTTGGGTATTTAAAAACTACAGTTACGAGTGATATAGAAGAAGGTACAGCAGAACTTGAAATAGATATCGATGGTTCAAAATTGAGGATGGTACAGCCAGTGCCTTCTGGACGGTAAAGGGGAATAACTTTATTTTTCAATGGTCCAGTAGTCTAAGAAACCTTAATTCTATCTTTCAGCGAGAATTATTTGCCGTTTTAACGAAGCAATAAACTCTGCTGCAGGTAAAAACTTTAGAGAAGTTGTACACACAGACAACATTGTTAGTATCGAAGCTATAAGTGACGGCTCCTCTAAAGATGAACTACTAGTACGAGTATATGCTGTTAGAGAATTTCTGTTCAGTAGCGATGATCTCATCACAATACAGTGGGTCAAGCGAAGAAGAAGCGAAGCCACTAGAGAAATGCAAAGGCAGGCATGTTGGGAAAGGTGGCAACAATATATACATTTCCGGTTACACCCGGAGTCAACATTGAAAAGAAAACTCAAAATGCATGCAGATAACAACTGGCAAAGGTAATGGGATACAGAGACAACTGGGCGTATCACCCATGACTATTTTCCACTAGTCTCTTCAATACTAAAATCAGAAAGCTCCATGCTAACTCTACAGTACACTGAACTTTATCCTTCACCCGCCTATTTGAATACGTTCGGACTTAGACATTTGGACTAGTGCTGTTGTGATAAAGTAGGCAATTTGAGATACTGCTTGCATGAATGCACTTTAACACAGGACATGCATCGCTCAGAACCCTCTGAAAATATTCTTCCAACCTGGAGAACTCGACTAGTGGAAAATAAAAAAAGTCTAAGGCAAGTTTTTAAAATTGCATATATTAACGGTAACGCTGATAATACTTATACCTTTCGCAAAGTATATTACTTTTAACTCAGAACTCTGTATTGCGAAGTACATTGCTCAATCTCACATAACGTTTAATCTGTAACGCGCATATTTTCTTCACGTTATCTAAATCTTTATTTTGTAAATAGTATGTACGTATTTCTGAGAATTTCTTTCATACTTGCATATAGTATGTTAAAAATTCATACAATATTTGCACAGTATGTGCTTTTATGAAACTGATGTAAGTATGTAATAACCCTGTAATTTAAGTAGTGCAAATTTTAAACTTATGATATGCTTAAGACACAATAACACGCCGAATAAATACTAATTCAAAAGTCAAACATCCTAATTCCAATCCAAATTTGCCTTCGGCCTTTAAAGAAATTATGTTTTAGTTCTGGTTTTACCAACAGATGGCGCCACTTGCTTATTCTTGTCCAGCCTTTCTTATCTTATCTAATCATTATTTCCTATCTTGTTCATTTGCGCAGCTGAAGATGGTGGTTCGGTAAAACCATCGAAACTAGTCCTGTGAAAATTTTGTAAATATAACGCTGATTTTTGTTGTTTGACTTCTGAATTATGATATGCTGTTCACTTAAAGTATCACAGGATTCCAATGTATTTCCATCAAAGGCCTTGCATGCCGATGTAACTCAACAAAAATTGTTTAATTTATGTCTCTTGTCCTCCCGGGTTTTGCAGTGAAGTAGATTTGTTTCCTCCAGAGGACACGCGATAACAGCTTAGGTTGATCTTTACAATATGGTAACTGGTAGTTTGGCGACATTTTGGAGGCGATAAAGGTTACTACCTGGGACTTTGGTAATAATGTGAGCAGTACTCAGTTCCGATTACGCATTATTTTGCGTGAGGGAAATGAGAGATCATGGGATATGTCATGTGATATTAATGGACGAATTACGGTTCTTTAATCGGAAAAGGGGGGAAATCGGGAAAAAATGTGGAAATTTTGTATTTAGCTTTATTCTGTGTTGTGTGAAACAGTGTTGTGTAATTTTTGGATCTCATGGCCCTAAGTAAAGTGAATTCGAAATGGGTATTTAGGCATTGTGATAAAGAGAAGTTTGCTTTTTATTTAGCGGAGGAAGTATGGAGGAAAAATTCGCAGAAAACATCTTTCAATAATTTTATTGAATGAATTAGAAAAGTGTATCCGCCACGTAATCAAGATTCTGAAGAAGATTAGGTAAGTTAGTATTTTTAATTATTTGAGGATATTATTTTTATGCATTGTTCTAAATGTAAGGTGGAAAGGAATTTGGTATTATTGGGGAAAATTTTTATTAGCAATGATTTAGTTTAAAAAGTAATTAGGATTGTAAAGGTAATTTTATTAATTTAATGTATGTGCTCATTTATATTTTAAGTAGTTTTGTTTTTGAATTTAATTATATTTTAATGAAATGATAGTTATTTTGTGAATTTTATGTTTGTAGGAATTTGGTATACGTTTAAGTTGAAATAAACGTGCATGGAAATAATTTAAATATTTGATACTAAGTACAAGTAATACTTGCGGTATGAATTCGTTGGTGACGTGTATAATGTAATAGATGATTTAGAGGTAAAAGTTTTTGGATATTTATTTATTTTATATGTGGAAATGTCCATATTTGTAAAGGGTAATACTTTTTTCGCGATCAGGTAATTTCATATATGTTCTTTTTACCGGGTTTAAAGAATTGAGAAAATTGTCATGTATTTTCGTGAAATTTTTCTAATTTATGAGAAAAAAGCAGTGTACATGGATATAGTGAAGAGTGTGCGCAATGCCATTTTTGTGCAATTCTGGGATGTTTTTTTTAAGTAAAAATAAGTCGACGTGTACATGGTTTATGTGTACGTGTTATTTTGAAAAACGCGTGAGGAGTATGGTATTGTGCACTTTTTCCCAATTTTGCAGTGAATATTTGTCATGATTAAGCAGTTTTGTTTGATAAAATTTCTAGCATAAGTGTAATTCGGCTAGTAGATTGTTGGAAGAAGTGTTCAGTAGATAAGAAGAAAAGAAAAAATGTCTTTACTTCGTGAAGACAAAATGGCGGCGGGGAAAAAAAATAGAGGGTTGCTGTAGGAGAGTTGGTTGCCAAATTTTCGCCAAAAAATCGCCAAGTTACCATAATGTAAAGATCAACCACAGCTTATAATAGCAGGTCTGCTGTCTTTATGGAGTTGCAGAGGACAGAGAGAGAGTGAGTCTTTAAAATGAAAAACTTGGGAATTACTTTACCCAGTGGGAATTCCTTTACCTTTTACCTACTACATTAAAAAATGGAACGTTCAATTATGTGTAATCCTACAATTCAGAGTCATGTTTTAGGACGGGCAAAGAAAAGTTCCAAAATTTAAAATGTGGGTCCTCAATTTCTAAAATCATACACATTTAAAATTCTGCTTTGATTCTCGACTTGGCCCTTTTCAAAAATTTCTGTATGTGATAGTTCAAAGCTTCATTTCACAGTCGGACAAACTAGTTTTCAGTGATTTTGAAACTCGAAAAAAAAAAAAAATTCTTTTAGCACTGGCAAAACGCATTCAGTCAGATGAAGTGGCATTAGACACTTTATGGTAAGAATTACAGATTTCAATTAACAGTTTTCGGTTTCCAAATTCTGTTCTGAAAACGTAAAAGAATATGCCTTTTTTTACAGATTTAGCCCACTACTTTAAAATACTCAGAAATCGCTCTTTGAGTAAAGGATTTGTTTAAGAATCTGGAACTATTTTAAATGCTGATATTATTAAGAATTATTGCAGGTGTGAAGGCAAATTAAATCACACTAGCAAGGAACCGTATGTAAATCCTAGGAGCTTATATTCTCAAAGTATCTTTCATTGACTGAGAATTTGATTGATAAAAGAGAAAACGACTCAAAGATTGAATTTTTATAAATACATGCAATTTTATTGCTAATCGATGGAAAGGAATGACAACATACTTCTTATAATCTTTTAAAACGAGGGAGTGCGTTTTGCTGAGTTGAGATTAGAATTTCTTAACCGCTTGGTCAATAACGTTAGGTGAAAAACCTCTGTCAATAGCAACTGCTTTCACATAATTTAGTTCTTGGGCCAAGAGTCGATTTAAAGAAAGAAATAAAATGAAGTTAACTTCTGTTCAGTCGAATGACATGATTTGAATTGCGATGGAAGACAGATAAATGAAGGTCTGCAGTATACAGTAGTACTGAAGTTGGATATGTTGGGCGTGTGACCAAGATGTCGAGAAATGAAAGGGAAATAGATGTCTTAAGCTCACGAGCGAACTAACAGCAGGATTAATAAAATTTATTATTGAAAGACCTTTTTTTTAAATCATCTTGATTGTCGTCAGACAGAGTAACGATATCGTCAACGTAGGAGAACCACTCTGGGAAGTTTAAAATTTTAAATTATTGGTTTAAAATTTTAAATCATTGGATACATACAGATATCAGCAAAAATAGGACTGAGAAAGCTCTCCATGGGTCACACTCTTTGCAATACGTACTTTGAAAAACAAAATGTGTTTGTTTCAGAGAGTATTGGAAATAGTAATAGATATCAATATTATTATAAATCAAAGTTTCTCAAACTGTGGTCGATGAAGATTGACCTTGTGGTTTTCGTTAATTTGCAAAAACGTCCTGCTATTTAAAAGGAAATGTAACAAGAATTTTCGTCATTTTTTGCTGATGACATAAGTACTAAAGACTGGTATAAGTATACTGGCATAACTCAAAACTAAATGAACGGAATCCCTTTCTACAAGGGCAATTTTTTTATTTAAAGGCAATTCTTAATACTTATGGAATGGATGCCCCTTGTGATTTTGAATTAAGGGATCCCATTAATTTGTCTTTGGCTACGAGGTAATTTCTTCAAACTTATGAAATAAGGAAATGAAAACTTGTGAAATAATGAGGCATCAGACACATTTTTCCCGATTTATTAAAATGAAAAAAGTGACATGAACATTACACACGCTCTCAATGCGCTGCTCTGAGAATAAGATCATGGAATAAATGAGTATTTTTAGAAAAGCTGACTATTTTCGACACACGATCTTGGTTATATTTATACATATGCACAATAACATTTCTTCAGCCTTATGCTTTCAGATCTAGGCATTTATTTAATTTTTTTTGACAGCACTCCCTTATTATAAAGCGGAACATTATATCGCAATTTCCCAAATTATGCACGTTTTGCTTATAATTCCATGAAAGAAAACCAATTCCGAAATAGAACACTTAAAAGCAAAGCAAATCAAATTATCGTTAAAGAAATTTGAAGAAAAATCAAGAACGTAAAACTAAAGGGTTAGTAATATTATGTACAAAAATTCGGAATTTGCACACGAACAGGCGTTAGAAGTTGTGGATATATCAAGGGAATAACATGAAGCTCAGAATATGGGTTCTGTTAAACAAGGAGTTCTCCACCTAGGATGCCTGCACTCTAGATGTTGAGAGACAGACTTTCTAGGGAAAGTGAGGGTGAAAGAAAAAGTGATTTCTTGAGAGACGAAACACGAGTTATCAACCAGCTAGCTGCCAGTCTAAGAACACTAGAAGGAAAGTGTTCGGGATGAAGACATTTATTAAATAGCTGCTCAGAGTATTGTGCATAGAAAAGAGAAAGAACCACTGCACTAGTATATACTGTTACGTGTTATTAATTTTTTAAGAAGCGTGTACAGTAGGATTTAAACACCGCAGTTACCATTGCCATTATTGGCAAATATCTTAGTAACGTCCACACCTGGTAAATTAGGAGAGAGTAATGCTTCATTCCCTCTAAAATTTCGGCGAATTTGATGTGCTGGCAAGCCTACCTTATCGGTGAATTCCAAAGTTTCGTTATAGCATTTTTAATGGTCATATGAATTTAAAACATGCGCTTCTGGTAAGGCAAAACATTAGAAACATCTAAACTTTTACCTCAATAAAACTAAAACTACAACAGCCTTCAAATACCTCTGCCAAAGTGGCTTATTTTTACAGCTGCCAAAATAGCATATCATAGAATTTCTAAATGTATGTGGCTGTGATTAGTCCGTTTTTCTCTCTCTTTATATAAATCACAAGGCGCACTACTTTGAAACTTAAGAAAAATTCTTTGCACACACTTTGATCCGGTTGTTTAGCGACAAAGTTTTTCTAGTGCCACTTGCTCCCACTGTGTTCTTCAATGAACGGAGAGGGAGTTCAAAAATATAAATATATAGATTATGCCTCTTATGATTATTCCATCATAAAGTTAATGATAGAGAAACACAAGAGAAAGAAAACAAACGAAAATTTAGGAAACAGTTTTTCAAAACAATCTTAGAAAACGTATCTAATTTTAACACATATACTATATATATGCAATCGATGATATTTACTTTTTATCCGCTATCTGTTGTATTTGATACTTTGTTATTTTATTTGTTGCCATTTAATTTAACATAAATTATTGAATAAAATACATAAATATGACTATGAAGTTCACTATTAACTAACTTACTATTAATCATTTTTATAATTTCTTCATTCTATTCATATACTAGATTTTGTTTTCATAAGGCAATCTTTCACTTTCTCCATAATAGGGTGGATAACAGAGATGTTTTACATAGCAGAAAGGATAACTCCGGCATTATCCTCTTCTTTGGACTGTGACAAGGAGCACTGCATTATCACGACAGAATTTTTTTTCTGTAACTTGAAACTGTTTAAGATTTCTTACAGTAGATTCTAATTCATGCATAAAACACGAATACTGCGAGTTATATTTTAAGGACATCTTTGTCACATTCGTCAGTGTAAAGGCGTTAAAGAAAATAAAACTCTGTTCCTTTCATAAGCCTGCGATTTTCGGAATTGCTTATCAGTCCCATGCAGCCAGTCAAGTATTCCTGCCACTCCAAAATTTTCATTGAACCTAAGGAAGAAAAAAATAATGGCATGAAATGCAATGTTTATTAATTTATTGTTATTTGAATATGATGTTAAATGTGAATTCAAATAAATTTCATTTGCATCAGTTAGAAATATTTTTAAATGCGTACGGCAACATTAAGAAAGCATATTATAGTTAGCCACTAATCAATGAAATCTAATTAAAAAAAAACCGTATGCAAGTGTTCTGATCTGTACCCCAAATTTCGACAGTTTTATGTGATAAAATTGAAACCAGTTTCCAGGCTGTTCCAGCTTTACATTTTCGTGTTGATGGATAGTTATGGTATCAAGTTTATCATGTCGTTAATTTCGTAGATATTTCCGCGTGTTTTAGAAGATTCTCGCGACTGTGAGACTGACTTTTTTTTTCATGAACATCAAAACTTTTTTTATAGATTTAATACTTTTTGCCACTATTTTATAATAGAAGCAAGACAAGGTTTAAACGTATAATCATCAGATTCCAGGCTTTCGTGCAGAAATTAAAGATTGTTTCGGATTGCAAAAGATTACAAATTAAACTGTCTACTTTTTTGTCTTTAGGATGCTTTAGACCTATAAGGGTCGGCATTGACCCCTGGGGTAATTTGAAAGAGACGATGATCAAGGAGGATTTTTAAAGAGATGAGGATCTTTAAAAGAATTTTAAAGAGAATGGTAATCAAGGGGGGGGGGGAATGCAAGCGCTATTGATCGACTGATTACAAAAAATGATTATTATATTAATATAGCTAATTAATTTATTTATATAGAGCATATCATGTAGTAAGGAAGAATCGCATAAAATAAATATAAAATAAAAAGTACGCAAAAATTATTTTATAAATTTCAAAAATCAGTAATACTTTATAAAATACAAAAGTAGTTCATGCAAAAAGTGCAATATAAAAGAGTAAAACTCAGGAAAGGGCTACAAAAATGTAAACGGAGTCCAAAAATTAGAAAAAACGCTGAACGTCCTCAGAAGATGTGCTGCTCTATGCAAGCCGCTTGCAAAATTAAAAAAGTATTAATCTTCGCTTCAAAAGCATTGAAATTTGAAACCATTATCAAGGTTCATAAAACTGTTGACTTGCAATCCACTTGGTTTTGATATTATAATGTAAGAAAAGTTGAACGCATTGAAGGAGGAGTTCAAGCACAAATTTTATTGAAAATACAAGTTTGCGCTAAATTTTGGAATTTAAAAGACATCTGAGAGAGATTCCAAAGTGAAAGGTATTGAATAACATTACTGATTTTTCCCTTTTCTTACCTAGTAGAAGTAGATCTTAGTCAAGACAATAATTTACTGCGAAAAACAAGAAACAGACTTAATATTTTTGAACGAGGATTTAAGAACAAAGCTAAGCAATTTTATGCCAAATATTAAAAACCTGTGTCAATATATCAACGGTGAGCAACCATCACATTAATTAAAACCGAACTTTTGTGCTGTTAGAATCCGGGATTTTGTTTCTGAAACTTATCTAAATTTGTAATAAATGTAATAATAATACAAAAATAACAAAACATAAATTTAATAAACCATTTTTTTCAAAATTTTTGTTCATATTCACAGCCTAACCTTTACATTATTTATGTGCAATTATGTATTTTGATTATGTTGCATGCTGTATATTATACAGAAAAATGTAAGGGGTCCACGAAGTAAACCATTTTTTTTTTAAATATGTCCATGGAAGAAAACGTTTTGGAATCTCTGTTTTAAGTAATGGTTCACTCTAAGTTCTTAATTTCAACATTTAATTTCTAAAGCCTTTAAAAGTTTATATCTGTTTTCATTTTGGCCATCTTGATAACTAGATTCCAGATGTTCTTAGAATTATTTTTCATGGATAAAAGAAGATTCCTGTGCTTCGTGTACGATTCATTCAACGAAGCTCACTCGTCGCTTATCATTCCGACATCCCTGAATACAGGATGTGTGAAATACTAAGAATTGTTGATTTGGCCAAAATGAAAGGAAAAGGCAAAGTAACTGAAATCTAGATTAGAGTTATGCTATATATATAATATATAAATATATGTAATTTCACCAGAAATTTTGATTCTTCTTTAGGATACACAGTCGGGCAATAGAATAAATAACTGAAGTCTTGAATTTGATTTTATTTCGATCCAACCTTATGGCAAATATCTTAAGAAGATTTCAGCATTACATCTCGATGTTAATATAGACACATTTTAAGGTATTTTCACCTTTATTTAATCTATGTTTTATCTTTATATGATGGGAATGGTTTTAATTCAACTTTAATAAATATTAAAATTTCTGTTTCTGTTTAGTGAGAAAATTGTGTTAAAAACAACATTTACTGTTAATTTGAGCAAATACCTATTCCATTGCCCAAGAAATAATATTTGATATTAAAGGTGTAAGTGCCTTTAAGTTAAAGCTGAAAATGAGGAACTTTAAGAACTGGTAAGCGAATAATTGCTTAGTTCAGTGAACAGATAGCAGAACTCAAGAAGGGTTAAATACCCTTTATTATTCAAAATAAATTTAACAGACCACTGCTTCTTGGAGTTTACAATAAAGCCTCCATTTGGGCTTGAACTCAGGAATTAGTATCCCTGAGTTCAAAGTAAAACTTAACTAAAAAAGATATAGCCGAAGCTATCAAGATTCTAACAGAGTTGGCCCCTTAACATTAACTAACGGCGAAGCTATCAAGGGCCTAAAGTACGGCCGAGTGTAATAATAGCTTAAGAGAGAGTAGCCTAAAAAGACGGACGCGTGCTATCCAGAATATCTGGTATCTCTCTCACTAAGACCGAAGAACTTCGAGGTTAAATACCGCTCTTCCACATTATGATTCCACACGGTGATTCTAAAACTGCATTCTGGCCGGAAGTGGTAAGTTGAAGCTAAGAATTGATAGGAAAGGAAATTTAACTCAAAATTTAATCATTCAATAATAATTTAAACTGGAAGTTCTCAAATTGCGAGACGCTTTGCTGCATCATTGGTTCCTTATTTATGGAGTTCGTGAGGTCTACGATCTCACCTGTAATTACCCCATGCTTTGAGCATTCCGCCCTAATATGTATTGTTAAGTTATAAACTAATGGCAATTCAAGTATTATTATAGCATTGTAATGCTCAATGGATTTATTTATTTGCGTTACAGAATGACAATATTACACTTCTGTAGTATACATTTAAATTTATCGCACAGGAACTGATTTCTATTATTTTCTGCAGTATACCATGGACCTGGTAGGATCTGTAAAAAAGGGCACAATTTGTTTTATTTTATTCAGGATATGAAAACTGATTCTAATTCATTTATTGCCATTTATTTTAATTATCTTAATAATAAAAATGGGTTACAATTATTTTATTTTATACTAAACCATTCGCGGACCCCCGACATTCTCCACGCACCCTCAAATTAATTTAAATTTGCCAGAGAACCCCTCCGTGGTCATAAGGATCGCTGTAGCCCTTAGGAAACACTTTGAGAACACTCATCTAGATAAATACGTATATATTTATTTTTCGAGTTTTGGAAAGGAGGTGGGAAATGAACTTCTAGCAATGGTGAAAAGCGTGCATGGGTCAAAAAAGTTTGAGAACTCCTGACTTAAACGGAAAATGGTTTGCATAATATAACAATAAGTTAATTTATTCTTATTACAATACACGGACCACTCTCTTCCAGTTCTTTTTCACCACTTGATTTTGTTCGGTAAATATTTCCTGTAATTCTCTCTTAAGCTCCAGTAGTAGCTACTTTTGATTATTTATTAAATATACATTTAACAGTTTTTTTTTAGGTCCTGAAGGACTATTCTTTTCGTTTTACGATTTTGAGTCGAATAACTCTGAATGTCCGTTTCACTTTTCACACTGATGCCACCAAATATTATCGCCCTGTATTATATTTGAAGAACTTAAATATTGAATAATCTGCATAAATGTATGTATGTATCTCACATTGTGATAAAACAACGGTACAGAGGACCATCCTATTTGGAATGAAGTAATCCTACTGTGAATATCGGCATGTGGAAGCCCAAATTTGAAATTTGTTTTATTATCGATTTCAAATTTTGTAAAACTTTAATGAATTTTTGATTAACAAACTCAAGGATTTCAAAGCAAGCAATGGAGACGTTGTATAGAAGAAACATTTTTATCTCCAGCTCGCGAGACTGCGTATCGGAAATTCGAAAGGATATGCTCAATTTAAAATTATTTTGCGATATTATTCTTAAACTGAATTTTATGGTTTAAGTGCGAAGAACATGATAGTTAATAAATAAAAGTAACACACAAAATGTTTAAAAAACGCCCCTTTGGACGTAATTTATAATCTGAAACCTTTCAGATTTTCTTTTTTCTTTTTTTTTTTTAAATTTTAATTTTAATTAGAAAATTTTGTATAAGGGAAGTAAAATATGTTGAGTGATGAAAGTTCTGGTTCATGTTTATAAAAAGATGCTATATTTCCATACTAATTGCTTGCTTAATGAAAATGTTGAAATTTTGGTTCATAGTCATAAAATTGTGTTTACAGCCTGAAAGTTTGGTTCATATTATTATAATAGTTTTAAGTGTACATTAAATGCTTACTTAAGGTGATGATAATGATGAAATTCTGGTGTGGGGGTCAGTGGCAAATGATAACCGGAATGCACAATGACTCCATAAGCTGTTGCAAATGTGAGCCAAGCCCAAAGAGATGTGACATGACTTCCGGCAATGACTGAGCCGATAAAAGTTGGCCACACATTAGACAGCACATGTTCCACTGGATGGCAATAGATGGCGCTAGGCCCCACGGGAGAAATCCATTCGTGATGTTTTTTGTGGTATCTTTTGTAAAAGAGAGAATGGTGAAGAAGCCTGGAAAATAAACACATAAGAATAATATAAAATGAAAAAAGTAAATTTATTTACGTAAATATATCAAAAACGTGTAGTGTCTTTTATTCTAATTTAGTAAATTCTGTATTTTATGCTACGTGCTTCATTTGCTCTATTTTTTCAGTATCTTTTACAAGCATAATTATTGGCACACATACGAATTTTCCTCAAAAGTTCTAATATTCACCTCTTATAATATTGCATTCTGAAACTTTAGATTGCAGCATAACATCTGAAAGAAGAATTTGAACTCAAGATTGTTTGTTTTTGTTTTCCCTTTTTTTTTTTTTTCTTTTTTTTTTAATAAATGAAATACACAAAAAATTAACAAATATAAAAATTATGTTCATTTTTTAAAACTGTTGTTTGATAAAATTACTGTCAATTCATAAAACTTAATCTAAATCTTAAACTATTTTATCAGTCTAATCTAAATCTAATTTAAAATTGTTGAACAATACTAAAATTTAACTTAAAAAGTCTTCCCCTTTTAAATCTTTGACGTTTGTTTCTGCCTTTGTTTTTTAAACATAAAATAGTATAAAAAGAAAATTTACAAATTATTAGAAAATATATTACTATTAAAAATATTAAATCTGAAAGCCTTTCAGATTTATATTCAGATTTTTTTATCTTTGGTACGTTTCATGGCCTTTAAAAAAAAAAGCTGTTTCAAATATTTTCATTGAATTATAAGCTCCAAAGTACTCTCAAATAATCACCTACGCATGAAATCTAACATTCCCCCTTTTTATTTGCATCTTTCGGATTTAGTTATGGTTTTACTCAATTATACGTTCTCAAATAGTTTTTCTTTCGTCCTAAAATAGGAATATTTCTCAAAATAAATTTCTTGACAGGGAGAGAAAAGGGCAAAGTTTTGACGTCATGGTGTTTCGATTACGCAAGAATATTTCTATATTTTTTTATATCAATGACAATTTTAAGTACTTTTGACACAGACCTTAAACTGTTCATTAATGTCTTAATATCACTATGAACATCTAGTTTAATTATAATTTAGCATCTTATAAAAATGAACATTTTAAATTAGAAAATCTATATTTTTAATTTAAACAATTTTTAAAATATATATGATGCTACTAAAATTCTGTTAATAGATTTTTATGATCTCAAAACAAACTAACTTATTCGCATACAGAGTTTAGAAGAAGCTGCCTAGAATTTTTAAAAATTAAGAATATTTCACAAAAAAATAGATTAAGTTTTAAAAAGGATAATACTCCAAGTTCTTAACGTAAAATTATGGGCGAATGTTTTCAGATCCGCTGACGCTTATCTTTCATTCCAATATATTCATTTTTAATGTAATTCTTCTTATGTATTTCTGTTTAATTTTTGATATCTACTAGATGCATTAGAAATTTATTTATGTAATTTTTTTACTTGTTATTTTTATATTTTTCAAGAAGATTCGAATAACAGTTTTTTACGTAAAAGTTATTAGCTTATGCTGCTTACATTCTGTGCTTCTAAAAATTTTTTAAAAAATATTATTCTGATTATGAATAATTCGAAGATTTTTAAGCTATAGATCTGCAGTTGTAGAAATTTGTTAAAAAACAGTTCACATTATTAAAGAAATCTGGATGGATCCCCATGGAATTATATACAGATTTAAAAGTAATGAAAAATCATCTTAACTAACATTATTTTAAGAAAAATAGCTCTGTGCATTTTAAAGGGTACTTGAACAGGTCTACCTTCATCAAAGAAAAAAAAAAAAAAAAAAAAAAAAAAAAATCTGAAAATATAATAAGATATTTTGACCAAAAATATTTAAAATAATACAAATAAATAAATGACAAAAGAAAGAACAAGAACAGCAGCATAACTATTGAAAAATATAGGAAAGAAAGAGTAAGTAACCAGGAACCAGGCTTTTAAATACTGGAAAAAAAAAAGCTAAAATTACTAAAGCTGATACATTTGAACGAATTTGGAAGGCTGCAAGAAAATCTACGAAACCAACTGAACATTTTTAAAATTTTGTGTGTGTATGGGGGGGCTTAATTTAGGTGATACTAATATAGGAAGGAGTGGTTAAAAAGTCAGTCGGTGTGGTTTATTTGATATGGCAAAATAACTCAAGGGACGGATGCCTTCGTGAAGAACTTTTAAGGTAAACTGTTTTGCATACACATTACACATGGGGAAAACCACGAAAACGCTTATGCAGCTAGCTAGCTGTTCGCGGAACTGGAACCTCAGACCAAACTACCAGTGTTCAGCGACTTTAGCGCTCGGCCGCTGGAAGGCCCGTTAAGAAGTCAAAACTTTATAAGCGATAAAATATTTAATTGTGGTAGTTACTAATAATGATTAGCAATACTTTCTTATAAGTGTATTCAGAAGCAGAAACGGTTATGAAGATTTTTCCTTTAGTGACGGCAAGAATTACGTGCGTGGATTAATGCATACATAGCAAAATTATACTGATGTAGCGATTTGCTCCCAAATCAAAATAAAATGTGAACTAATGTACATACATTTTACATAAGCTAATGCAGATGCTTTTTATTTTTCTTATTTGATTTTGTTCTTGCAATAATGCTCATTCTGCAAGGGAGGCTGAATACAACGGTTTATAGTACACTTTTGTTGGCTTTGTTTCATCAAATATTAAAATATAAAAATGTAGAAGCATTTTCAGGACACTAGTCGGTTATATTCGGCTACAGTATGGTCTACAGTATTTATATATTCAGAACAACATATGGCTGCAGTATGAACCATATATTCAGAACGATTCCAAAAAAAGAATGAAACTGCATAAAGTAACCATGAATGGTTATTTTATGCAGTTTCATTCTTTCATTTCATTCACACATGGGCCACTAATATAGGCGGTCCTGGTAATGAGAAATCCTAAAGCTTTATGCACGTAATAATGATTTACGAATTTTTGGAAAATATTTCACAGCGAAAAGATTCGCAAATTTTGTATTTGAACAACGTGTCACACGCCATATCTCTCCTGCAAGGGGGCAAGATTTAAACTATTATTTTAAACGAAATTCTAGTGTACTTTTAACCTCCTTATATCCAGATGATAATCCAGTTTTTACCTTAGACATTACACAATCGATGGCTGTCTGCATACGCTGTTGTAATTCCGGTTGATCTTGGCAGAGCTACAGCGTCCTTGACATATCCCCAAAGGGAGAAAATGTTATAAATGTGTAATGCAAGGGCAATTCGTCTAAAATCCAAAATTTTAGACGAACTGGAGTTTAGGAATTGGAAAGTTGTTGCTAACAATTTTTGTTAGCTGTTGCTTCCTTTCCAATCCATTTATATTTTCTCTACTTGACTGCCATAAATAATCATATTATAATAAAGATGTAAATTTATTCTTTTTAACTGTGTACTTATTTGCCTTGCTCTTTCTCATACTAGAATAATTTACCTTAATTCGTATTGTGGAGTTCATAAAGCAATATACGATTATTAATTCGAATTCTGGCTCTGAGTTGACGAAACTAATGACAAAAATGTGCTGCCATTTTACGATTAGGTGAAAAAATTTGGAAAAATTTAAAATTCTTGTTTTTTTTCTTTATTTTCTTATCAAAATTTAACTTAATTTCATTCTCAAAAGATGGAATTATATAATTCGTTTTCAAAAATATAACGCTGTTTGAAAGGAAGATTAAATAAAGAGGGTAATCGTAAAATGAAATTATTGCATATCTATAAAAACATTAAATTCAGAAAAATGCAATGGAAAAAAAGTAAAGAAAGTCGAGGATTACAACTTTGTTTAGTTGAGGAATTAATCAAAAATTTTGAAACATATGAAGTCATTAGAACTGAAATGAGTACAATAATTACTTCTGCTTTTGTTTAAACAATAGAACTGTGTATTTAACATATTATGCCGTATTGTCTTCGAAATATAGAAATAATAAAGCCATAAATCAGTTTGACTTTATGTAATATCCTTTAAAGTATTATACTGACGATAAGCCTAAGAAATAAGCTTCTTTGACTATGAAACCTTTTAATTAATACAACCTCTGAAACCTTTCAATCAGTAGAGGCCCACCAGCGGCCGAGCGGTAAAGTCGCTGAACACTGGTAGTTCGGTCCGAGGTTCGAATCCCGCGAACAGGCTGGCTGCATGGGCGTTTTCGTGGTTTTCCCCATGTGTAACGTGTATACGAGCCAGTAGTTTCCCTTAGAAAGTCCTCCACGAAAGGCATCCCTCCCCTTAGGCAGATAGCCCTAGTGTGCTTTGCCATAATTAAATACACACACACACACACACACATCAATCAGTAGAAGTAATCAACATGAAGAAAATAATACGAATCAGGCTATGCCTCAGTTCGCGTATTTTCAATGAATTTTAAACAACCGGTACGCATCATTTTAATAGACAGGCTATTCAACAATCATCTCATGGACTGAAGACATTCATTCTGAAATTCATTTCTATATAATTAAATGAACCCCTGACGTTTCGCTGATGAATACACAATGACTTAGTCTATCGGCCCAATAATATAGAACAGATCTTACCAGCTCTGGTATGTGAAAAGTTCCGAGTGACATGATGTGATTAAAAAAATTATATTGAATGAGCGTAGTAAAAAAAATTATAGAAAAAGATTTCACTTGCAGTAGATTATCAGGTACTTAATTTTCTTTAAAATTTTTATTATATTACACCTTTAATTTCAATTTAAGCATAAGAATTTTAAGACAATACAATAAGAATTATTTAAAAAAATCCAGAAGGTTGAAAAAGTCTTTAATTTAAATTTGATAAATTCAGTCAATCAATCAACCGATATTACTGACTGATAGCCTTATAGTTCTAAACATATGCTCAGTATTAATTAATTTAAAGCTAATTAATGAAAAACTTTGTTTCCAGTTAACTCTGATTGGAATATTTTTATTAAAATTTTTTATTTAAATGATGGTGCTTAATTTGTGTATTTATGAGATACAAAATTTTAATACTCGCTGAAATTTTTTTTAGTAAATTAGTTAAGCCAATTTAAAATGATGTTTCAAATCCTCGTTATTAGCAATAACTCCCCCCCCCTCTCCGCAATATTTTTTTCTCAAATCAACTATCTTCTGAGATATAAGAATTCGAATCAATTGAAGCAACGAAAAGCTCACATCTGATAAACTACATACAACTTAAGTTTTTCATAGATATCGACACGAAATTTACGAGCTAGGTTTGTTCATATATAAAATATATTTTGCCACAGAACTGGAAAAATATCTTTAAGATACTCAGAACTTAAAACTTTGTAAATTCGTTTAAAGTACTCAGAACTTGTACAGTGTCTCGCGAGAAGGAAAAAAAATTATAATACGCCCAAAGGGACTTTTTTTAACGTTTTACGTGTTACTTTTATTTATTAAATCTCCCGTTCTTTGCACTTAAACCATAAAATTGAATTCAACAGCAGTATCACAAAATAATCCTTGCTCATAAAATATCTATGCTTGAAGATGCCCGCGAGGTTAATGTTAATGGAATGGCTTGAAATAGTTGAGTTTGTTAATCAAAAATTCGTTAAAGTTTTATAAAATATATGAAATAGATAATAAAACAAATTACAAATATGGCCTTTCAGCTGCCCATATTCGACTGGAGGACTACGTTATTCAAAATTTGATGTCTCTAGGTACCGGTATTTTTTTACAATGCGCCAAAACATACATATATTCATGCAGATTCTTCATTATTTAATATCTTTAAATATAATCCAGGACTATAATATTTGGTGGCAATAATTTTAAAAGTGATTCAGACTTTTATAGTGAACCAATGTAAAATGCCAAAACGAAATTAATAGCTCTTCTGAGCTAACGCTCCTTTGGGCAAAAAAGATGTGATTAAAAAAATTATTTAATTTAACTCTCTGTTTCTTATATGAAAGTCTGCTCCAAAAGTCATTTTGGGTTTGAAATTGAAAAAATTCCAGCAACACTTCTAAACCACAACAGTATTTTGCAACAAAAAGTTGCGATAAAACCCTAAGAGCTACTTTGATAAAGAAAAGAAAGATTAAACAAGAAATAATTAAAATTTGAAGTTTGTTTGCATTATCACTAATTAAGGTTTTCCCATCTTCGCAGTTAGCAAGTTAAATAGTTAATTTCTCTCGAAATGCTGAGAAAGGTACATTTAGTTTTTTCCATTATTATCGCATACCCTGCTTATACGATATAACGAGGTGTAAACTGAAAGATAAACACACTCTTCGGCGCTTAACGTGTTAAAACAGATAAATCGATAGACAGTGGCGCTAGTAAGGAAATGAAGAAAAAGAAGGAAACGAATGATAGACGGAACGATAAAAGGCAGTCTGGTCTTAAAGGATAGCAGAATACATACATAAAATGCAAAGATTTACAGTAAAAGAATTCCAGAAATCTTGCAAGATGAATTTTCCTCCCCATTAAATCTCATTTGAATATATCTCAACGTAGGCTCTCAGTTTGCTAATGGTAAATGTATTGATTAAATGTGTTTGATCAATGTGTAGAAAACTCTGGATTACCTGTGAGAATAGTAAAAGAAGATTTCCTCCATAAGCACTTGCATTAGAATATCGAATATAAACCTCTGGATGCTCGGGAGCTGTATTCCATTGTCGTACCCTCTGTACCTCTTCAGAACAAAGCATAGGTATATTACAGGAACAGCGATTAAAGTTTGGTTGATTAAAACATTACGGATGACATTCTGCAGCTTTTCTGGTGTTACTATCTATGTTAGACGAAAAAAACAACGTTTTATCGTGAGCTTTAAAAGAGAAGATTCAATACATGAAAAATTACTTAGTATTGTAATAATGCTCTTTGTTATAAAGCAAGGTTAAGAGCAAAACGAGATTTGTGTTATATTAAAAATTAATCAGCAACGCAGAAAACTCAAGAGCGTACCTAGAATTTTTGTTGCCCAAGGCGGTCCTTGAATTTAAAACCCCTTTTGATATACCAACAAATAATTATAAAAAATATCAAAACGACATGTAGAGAAATAAGTTTAAACTCTACTTTTACTTTTTAAAAATAACTCGAATTCCAGTATTTTAAATTATTATTATTATTATTATTATTATTTTGACATTTTAGAGGTCCATTTAATTGCTCTTGCTGTTATGTAGACAACACAGAAAGATTTCTTAAATGCAAAATATACAGAGTGGTTATAATTAAAGTCCCACTTAATTATAACCACCCTGTATATTTTGTCATAAAGGGAAAACTGCTGGACCGAAAACTACTGGAAATGCATGTTCAGTGTGGCGTCCACCATTTTCGAAAAACAAGTTAAAAAATCACATCACTGCATTCTCAACAGCAACTCTTAGCGCATCAGGAGAGATATTACGGACTTGTCTGTGTATCGCATCTTTCAATTCTGCCAAATCGTTTAGAGTATTTGCATAAATCGATTGCTTCTTCTTGCTGTAAGCCAATTACAAGCCATTGTGCTTTTGATAATTCCACAAAACAGTTTCGTTTTAGAAACGATTAAAAACGTTTTTAAACAGATATCTTCATATCTTAGAGCCGAATTCAGACTTCTGAAATCACAAATTAGCGAACTGTGAGAAAGCGATTTCCAGCTTGCGCACACTTTTGCGAGTGATTTGCGATCTCACATTATCTAATCGCTAATTTGTGGTTTTCACAGACGGATTTCTCCGTTACAGGAACGGTGCACTTGACTTTTGCCGCCTTTAAATGGTAATTTTGTTTAGGTTAATGTTTCTTAAGAGTATACAACATGTTAAACACGTGTAACAACAGGTTAAGTTAGACCTCCCACCCTTATGTCGTTTAACAATATTACATACAGCGCCATTTGCTCACAGTGATGAGTTTTTGAACGTTTTCTTTTTTTCGCGGAAAATAAATTCCAATGCCCTCCTTTACACGATTACCAAATTTGATAACCATTTGGACCAGTAGTTTTCCTTTTATGACTATTTCAAAGTGGAACTTTAATTCTAACCAAATCTGTAGTTCTTAAACACTTGTTGAATAATTTTTATTTAGAAAACGCTTCTGACAACTAACAACACTCAAACCAATCGAGAGGAAAACTCGCAATAGTATTATAATGTTTGGATTGCATTTTAGAATAAGCTTCAAAACCTCAAAAGGACTGCTCCCTACGTTTCTCGTTTCGGTTTCTCTAGCAATAACGGAAATAAAACTTCGTAATACTTTTTCTTAACGAGGAATTTTTCCTTATAATTGTCACCGTATTCATAATTTAGTTGATATTCCTAATTTGCATTCAAATTTTTCGACGAAGTAAAAAAGGCGTAACAAATATATGTAGCTGTTGAAATCCCGTAGTGATTTCTTTGAATACTCTATCTAAATTCTTTTTCTTCTTTATTTAATTCCGTGTGGAAATCCAGAATCTCATTATTTTTCACTTGCCTGGGGGAGCCAATTGCCAAAACCCTGAAAATAAAATTTCATAAAAAAAAAAAAAAAAAAAAAAAAAAAAAAAAAAAAAAAAAATTGCCGCCTTTAAAAATGTACTGCAAAAACCCTTTTCGTAGAGTTTTTGCAGTATATTTTTTCGCTTTTAAAAAACCCCTTTTTTTAGGATTTCTAAAAATTTTGTATAGTCACGTTATAAGGAATTTACGGCTTTTTCCATGTACTCTCCCTTGATGCAACCGATAGCACGTCTACTCAGCAGTCGGAAGATCCACATTTGGAATTCTGGTGAGCATCGGTTCTAGCATCGAAAATTCTAGTAGCGTTACCATGTTCTGTTAAATTATCAATAACACTAAGTTCTGTTAAATACCATAGACCATGTTCAGCTTACCAAATGTTAAATGTGGACGCATAACTAGTTCTCAGTATGCTTTCATTCGACAGAACGTAAGGTCTTTAGTTTATCTTTGGAATTTAATCAATAAACACCTATAATATATATGTACCTGGAACAAAATCATTTGATTTAAATGTAAAAATGAATGAGGGATTTTTCTGACTTCCTCTAACGATTCTCGGAATCTGGTGAATCAATACAAATTCCATGGAAATAAGCGAAAAATAATATAAATGAGAACACTGTAAATGTAGACTTAACAACGACAACTATGCCACAGTCAAATCTTTATAGTGAAATAGCAGTGATACTTTATTTATTCGTTGCAATTTTACTTTCACTCGAGTCACTAAACTGCTGTTTATCATCATAAACATTCATTCCTAAAATTCTCCAGATATTTCTAGGAAATTTTACTCCCATGACAGATTAACATCTCTATCTTTTGGCCTTTAAAACATTCTTTAACTATTCAGAAAAACATAAAATCTGGAATTATCTTGCTGGAAAAGGTGCAGGTTTCCAGAAATACCTCTTACAAAATGGGAGAAGTATCTTTTAGTATCATTGCTTAGTTTTTCATTCTTTACTTTCCCCTTCAAAAAATCTTAACTCGGGGATGTTTTTATATCCAACCAATTATTACGTTCCATTCAGAATTCTAAGTATTCCTTGAGAAGAAATCCATTCCTTTCTGTAGATGATGGAGATATAATAAGCAAAACATCTGGCCCCCTAAAGATTAGATTTCTTTTCTTTCTGGAAATAATACTCGTATTTTACTAAGCAGTGGTCATCACAATCTCTGTGCAAATCCTCACATATTACTTCTTAGTTCTTGATTCTTTCTCCTTAACAAAGATTTTGAAGTTTTCCTAAAAGGAAATTTGCTGTCTTTTGTAGCATAACGGAAATTTAGATCATGAGTTTTTAAGAATGTGCAATCTGTTATTGTTCTTGAAATTTTTGCTGTAGTCCAATGCAGTTCGAAAAAAAGCTGAGCAAAAGTTTAACTTTCTTCCTGATGCTAAACACATTTATTTCATTCCGGATTCCATGGAATAATTAAGGATGAAGTGACTTTGGAATTGAAATATTAGATATAATTCTCTAATTAATTACAAATTAAGTCTCTTTAACTTATAAATTAAATTAAGTAATGGAAAGCTTAGTTTGGAAGTCGAAGTTTAGCTCAACTTGTTACATTGAGATTATTGATTAGACAGATTTAGAGAGTATTTTCAGCAGAAATACTAACATTTTGAAATGCCATGCAATTTAAATAAGAAAATGAAAAGAAAAGATCTTTATTGTTAGCAACAGAAATAATAGTAATATTAGTAATAATAATAATAATGATGATGAAATAATAATAAGAAGAAGAGCAACATTAATAATAATTATCATAATAACAGGAATAATATAATAATTGTTATCATAATAATAACAGGAATAATAATAATAATTGTTATCATAATAATAACAGGAATAACAATAATAGTAATAATACTAAGAAAAAGATGAATGAAAGAATTATTTCAATAGGAATAATTCCTTCAGATTTTAGTGAATATGGATCAGTTTCCGTTAGAATGTCTTATGAAGGCATTTCCTCCCCTTACGCAGGTAGCTCACGTGCATCTGACTATAAAATTAACCAAATCGCTCACATTCCGTGGTTGCAGCATCGATTTTTGATTAAGTACGTTTGCCTAGATCTTCAAAGTTTGAACTAGTATAAGATTTGTCATATTTATACTACCAAAATTAATAAAAATTACTTGATACTTCAGTATCACTTGACTGCTAAGTGTATATTACTACGCCAAGGACGTCTATGAAACAGCGCAAGGCAGTGCAGAAGATTTGCATAGCTCGCAGACCTTTATATTATTTTTTAAAATAACTTTTCCTAAATGAGCCATTCTGAGCCAAACGTTGAGACATTTCTGATTGGAGAAATTTGGTTTTTTGAAAATATGCGTCTGGCTATTGTGTTCAGCTGACGCAGTACAATGACAGACGGAAGACACTCTTGAAAGGTTTTTCCTTGACGGTCGCTGGTGAAACTATAAAGAAATAATCCACAGAATGAATCACTATATAAGAAAAGGAAAATTAATCAAACATAACATAACCTAACGTAACGTAAAATAAAAGAAAGTAAAAGAGGTAGTCAGTAGCTCAGTGCAACTTGCAGTAAAGTCAACAGTGGGCTGTCAGGATAGAGCAACAATGCAGCCACAGTAGCCTGGCTAGTTGTAACACCAATAGCGAGCTACTCACGAAGATTGAATGCGAAAACAGACAGAAATAAAGGCATACTTCCCAAGCGGCATTCCATCAGCTATGGCCTGATTCCCAATCGATGGCAATTATTATGGATCCACCAGCCATGGCTGCTCTACTTGAAATTTAGTTTTTCGAAATTATTCCTTTAGTTTCAAATTTGATGTATTTTTTCAATTTAATTTGCACAGATTTGATGCAAATAATTTTGCATCACACTTAAGACTGAAAATTTACTTTTTATTCTTATAAAGTGGAAAATTAGGTAAATTAAAATCATTAAAAGTAATTTCTTTCCAAAATGAGACATTCTTTCTCGTAGAAATTTCTAGTTCCAAAAAGACTTTTAGCACATATCTGTGTAAAGTCAACAAATAAATTTGGTCTCTTTGTGTAACTCTACATTTGTCTTTTTCCAAATCATTTGTCTTTTACCAGAATCAAATGTATTAAATTTATTTTCAGGGCTTCACATTTTCACAGATATATTCTTTCCCGTATCTCCGATCTCCAAAACAGCTTCCGGACCTAAGTTTTTGTTCATCCCACTTATGTTGAGCTTCTTCTAGTTCCAAAAAGACTTTCCAAAAAAAAATTATTTTTTACTTTATTCT